AACCCTTAAAGTGGACTCAATTTGCACTATTTCTGGCAGTCTGCAGCCACCCTTAACCCCCAAGGCCGAGCCGTTCACACAGTAGTAGTGACACCCGTGTTTTTCCAGGTGCGGATGGTGAGAGGGGAGCTGGTGGACGAAGCCGGAGACGCCGCGGTGGAGTGGATCGGGCTCATCCGGGCCGCCAGACATGCGCAGGAACAGACCTTGGAGGCCATTGCGGATCTACCGGGCGGACAGGTACCTACCGTCCCCTCAGTGAGCGCTAGGGCTTTGGTCAGGGGCCAGATTGACAGCCAGAGGGGCTAGTGGTTTGAGTGCTGGACTATGACTGGAGACCAAGCTACAGGAAAAGATATCCCACCTCAGCATTAGGAGTAGCTTCCTGACAGTGAGAGCTGTTCTCCAGTGGAACACACTCTGGTGGAGTCTCCTTCTTTGGAGGCCTTTAAGCAGAGGCTGGATGGCCATCTGTCGGGGGTGCTTTGAATGGGAATTCCTGCATGGCAGGGGATTGGACTGGGTGGCCCTTGTGGTCTCTTCCAGCTCTATGGTTCTATGATTCTATGACCAAGGTTTGATTCCCTGCTCGGCCATGGAAGCCCAGTGGGTGACCTTGGGCAAGTCACACTCTCTCAGCCTCAGAGGAAGGCAAAGCCAAACCTCCTCTAAACAAATACTGCCAAGAAAACCCTATGACAGATTTCCCTTAGGGTGCCATAAGTCAGAAACGAGTTGAAGGAAGATAGCAACAATAGCAAAAGTGGGAGGCAGTAGACAAAGAGGGAGACCGCACTACAGGTGGACAGAGATGTCAAGGAAGCCCGAGCTGCCCTGAATTTGCAAGACCTGAGCAGGGCAGCGGATGGCCAGGGTTCCTGAAAGTCTTGCCTCAGAGGACGGCAAAGCCAAACCCCCTCTGAAGAAGAAAACCCCAGGATAGGGTGGCCATAAACCGGGGAGGAGGGCCAGCGTGGCATAGTGGATGATTGTTGGATGATGACTCTGGAGACCAGGGTTTGATTCCCCGCTCGGCCATGCAAGCCCACTGGGTGACCTTGCACACTCTCTCAGCCTCAAGGGAAGGCAATGGCAAGCCTCCTTTGAACCAATCTGTGCCAAGAAAACCCCAGGATAGGGTGACCATAAGTAGAAAAGACGTGAAGACCCACAACAGCCACCGGGTCTGGGGGACTGTTTGGCCTTGGGAGTTTGCTCTGCCCCCCTGGGCTTTGCCAACGGGGCTTCTCCTTTTTCCTCCTAGATTTTCTACCGGGCGCTGCGAGATGTCCAGCCGGGGGAGGAACTCACGGTGTGGTACTCCAACTCCTTGGCTCAGTGGTTTGACATGCCGACCACGGCCACCCCGACCCACGACGAGAAAGGTAGGTCCTCTTCCAGCAGCACCTTGGCCAGCGACTGGCAGCCCTTCCTTCGAAGGAGGAGGAGGAGGGCGAGGGTTCGGGGTTTTGGGTTTAGGAGCCCAACCTTCCCCCCTTTCCCCTTGAGATTGGTAACTGGGGGGGTTTGGCCACAGGGAACGAATGCAGGCGGTGAATCCGCTCTGGGTTTTAGTAGGAACTTTACAGGAGCAGACTCCTTGAATCCGTGGGATCTACCTACTACAGCAGGGGTAGGCAATCTTTCCCCTTTAAGGGCCGAGGGACTTCAGCTCCCAGAAGCCTCAGCCATGTTGGCCAATAGTCCCATGCTGGCCAATAGCTCCTGGGATTCTGGGAGCTGAAGTCCCTCGGCCCTTAAAGGGGAAAGGTTGCCTACCCCTGTACTACAGTATTCTTTGAATCAACAACTGGCTAAATGGCAAGGTGACCAGACATCCTCCTTTCCCAGGACATGCCCTCCATTTCAACCTTCTGTACAGGAGGACGTTCAAAATGTCTTCTGTTTTGAGCATGACTAAGAAGCACGATTTTACATTTGACATGAGTGTTTTGAGCTTTTTATTTTGGAATGGCTTGCATTTTTCTGGAATGTCCTATATTTTGCAGTGCCCTGTCCTCTTTTAAGGTTATAAGGACATCTGGTCAGCCTGTCGAAGATGTTCAACCTATGTTGGGGATACGGATCAGCACCTTGGACAGCTCTCTTACACTTCGGACTATATCTGGTAGCGGATTGATTGTCAGAATCCTATGGAAGTTGCCAGCCCTTACTGTCTAGGTCAAAGTTTAAAAGAAGACACATAATCCACAGTCCACAAACTGATGGAGGATGGAATACTTAAGTCTAGGGACGGAAAAACTTGGAAGTAACTGCATAGTGTAGTGGTTTCAGTGTTGGATTATGACTCTGGAGACTAGGGTTCGAGTCCTTGCGCAACCATGGAAACCCAGTGGGTGCCCTTAGGCAAGGCACAATCTCTCAACTTCATAGGAAGGCAACTCTGAACAAATATGGTTAAGAAACCCATGATAGGTTCGCCTTAGGGTCCTCATGTTCAAAATGGAGGACCTATTAGAATTCCTCCTGGACAGAAGGTTGAAATGTAGGACATGCCCTGGAAAAGGAGGATGTCTGGTCACCCTGACCTTAGTATATGTCTGTAATAAGGGGAGCAAGTCTATACCCTTTTAGGATAGGGACGCGTTTAATCTCAACAGATTGGTAGTTAAAGTTCTCGTTACTCTTACTACACGGAATA